TTTAGAAATGTCAAGTACCCACGAATAATATTATACAATCACAACAAAATAACTAAAATAGTTATTCTAGGTTTTTTATTATGTAATTTCGTCCAAATTTGAATTTAAAATGTCTGTAAAAAATAAGTGTGTTCATACATTTTTTAGATTTTTTGGTTACAGTATGAACTATTTATGATAACCTTTGTTTTAAATTTGCAATCCTTAGCTATAAGAACTGAACATTTTATAATTTATTAAATACAATGATTGATAATTTTCGAATTTTGATAAATTTTGTTAAAATTCGATCTTTAAATGCTTATAAAAAAAAAATTGTGCCTATGTATTTTTAATATTTTTCAACTGATATTGTAACAATATATCAGGAGCCTTGTATTACATTTTTACACTTTTTGGCCAAACAAATAAAACTTTATTGATATTCATAGAAAAAAAAACTAAAAAAATTGAAAACTGAAAATGTCCGTAAACAGCTCAAAAAGAGTTAAAATATTTTGAAAATTGTATGGTGTATAGGAAATGCTAATATAAATATTCAGTGAAATTTTCATTGATCTGCAGTAATTCGTTTTTGAATTACAACAAAATAAGGAAATCGCTACATGAGAAATCGAGTGAATATCCAATGTTGTAAAAATTTGAATTTCAAACGCTCATAAAAATTTAATTTGACGTTCCGGTAGAGATTTTTTTATTGATAAAGGTAGACAAACTTATGAGTAATCTTGTATTACATTTTCAAATCTAAGATTTAAAAAGAAAAATTTTTACGAATTCTTAACTCAAAATAATTTGATAATTTTTGTGATTTTTCCATATTTTGTCAATTTTTGAACTTTAAATGCTTATAAAAAAAAAATTGTGACCAAGAATTTTTTTTTTTTTCATCTGCCTTTGAAACAATATACTAGGAGCCTTCTATTAAATTGTCAAGCTTTCGAAACCAACAAATAAAATTTTTTGATATTTTTAGAATAAAAACTAAAAAAAAATGGAAAATGAAAATGTCCCTAAACAGTTTAAAACAAATCATAATAATTTAAAATTTTATCATGTATAGAAAATGCAAATATAAACAACCAGTAAAATGTCATGTATATACGTTCATTTGTTTTAGAGTTGCACCAAAAACCAAAATCGATTTTTTGGAAAACAGATTTTGCGTAAAAATTCCCGTTATTCCTTAATTTTTATGTGTTTAATCCCGGCGCCTGTGAAAACTATTGGGAATTTTAAAATTTGACCTCCCGAATACACCAACTAGTGTCACTTTCCAATCAAACAAGATACTGAAGTTGAGAATCGAAGCATTATTTCGACTACTTATCGTGTACACGGACACAAAAAAAAAATAAATAAAAAAATGAAAATATTAAAATAAAAAACACACATCATTGTAAAATCAATACATTCATCGTTCCACTCAGAATCTAAAAAAAGGTATTTATCTTTCTTTATATATTTATCAAATACTTCCAAATAAAAAGTATTACAAAAATTATTCAATACAGAAAAAAGTATTTGAATACTTTAACTCAAATACATTAAATCAAATACTTTTCACACTGCTCAGTGGTTACAATTAAACCGCAGTGAGAGAATGAGAGATCATTACACTGTTATTGGTACAGTCATTTTTATTCAGACACTACCACCGAGGTACCCACGGGCAGTGGCGTCCGCAGGATTTTTCAATGGGGGGGGGGGGGCTTGAAAATTTGTTACAAATTTATTTTTATTTTGCCCAGTCTATAATAAATGTTGTGTACTTTTCAACTTTTCTGGTAGAAAAAATGCTCTTATCATAAGCTTCGATGCCCAGTGTATGTTTTTGGAAGCATTTTGGATCTAGTTGGTACTTTTAGGAGGTCGAAATTGAATCTGCTCAGTGCTTTTAAAAGTACCTAATTGGAGAAAAAAAAATGAAAACTTATTTAAATTGTCTGGTAACAATAGCTTGGTTACAGTGACGTATTTATGGGGGGATATGGGGGATAGACCCCCTCCCTTACCCATGTTTTTCCATGTATAAAGTAAAAACTGCTGCAGTACTGTTGTTATTTATAATTTTGTTATCCTGTGGGCATGTGAGTGACATTACACAACATTTATTATTATTATATACCTTACATGGAGTAACTAACAAAAAGTTGCAATAGCACAAAACAAATTTTGATATCCCCCTCCTAAAGAAAATCCTATATACGCCCCTGCTTGGTTATATAGTCCTCACTTGGATTGTATTTGACTAATTAAATTTTTTTTTTATAAATGTCAATAAAAAATTATTTATCCGGTCGAAAAGCTTAAAAAATGTAATACGTAAGTTTTTTTTACATATGCATTTAAAGTTCAAAACAATTTAACCACAGTTAATTTGTAGTTCAAAACTTATAAAATATAAAATATGTATAGCTAAGGCTAGACAATTTAATACAAGGTCTTTCATACAAGTAGTTCATTCTTTTACCGAAAAATTACAGATAATTTATGAAAATTGGTATGCAAATACAATGTTTTTTCAAAAATGAATTCATTCTGGTAAGACATATATTATGAAAGTGACGTCTTGCTTACTATAGTTGACAGTTTAAACTTTATTAATATTTTTTTTTAAAGTAATAATAATATGGGCAATGGGGGGGCTTCAGCCCGTTAGCCCCCCCCCCCCCTGCGGACGCCACTGCCCACGGGCTACGACCTATCGAACTTCCAAACAATACCTACTTCAGTACTTCATAGTTCATAGAATAATTATAGGTATGTACTTATTGGATCGGGACGAAAACGCCCGACAGTCAACGTATCTGCAATAAAAACGCATAGTAGTCGACCGATGTCCAAAACTCCGTAATCGAGTGCGTACGAATGGCTGCGTCGATCAGCTGCTATTGCCGCCGCCGGATGATCGTTTCGTAAAAATCCTTAGCGAACGTATGATAATGTATAGTGTTGCTGTACATTTTATTTTTTCAAACCCACAAGAATTAAATATTACGAAAACGCAATATAATATGCCGAACAAACCTTGAAGGGATTTTGGACCGGATATAACGCACTGCACAGTGAGATCAATCCATCGGGAAAAAAACGAGCTGCAACTAGTGCATGCGCTGTAAACAAGTACCATAAATTTTATTATTCAACCGCTGCTGATAAGATAAGAGAAAAAAAAACACTTAAACGATTTTCAGGCTTCCGCATTCAATACATACCTTTGGTCTTAATGCACACTTCTTTAATTGCTGTGCCTTGCCGATGTGAACAGAACAAGTACACTGGCAACACGACGTTATTGACATTATTCTATAATAATCCATAAGGCTGATAAGTTAATTTTCCAAGGTAAGGATGATTAATTCTTGTCAATATTGTGCTGTCTATTTGTTTTTTTTTTTTATTCACATTAACTGCCGGACACCTACCTTCGAGGTTTCTTCACAATTAGGCTCAAATGGTGGTGGATTTTAGAGTTGAATGCTACTAGGCCAGTTTTCGAGAAAAGCACTGGCCCGTAGTATTATTTTGTTACGACATTTTAAATGCAACACAGTTAAGAGTGATGATCTTAGGCTGTGAAATCTGTGACAGGCGCAATTTATTTTTTCATACCTTTTTCGGCAATATTTTGTGTGCAAGATACTGTATTTACTATTTAATACATTATATTTGTTATTGGATTTCAGCTGATTCGATTAATGTGACATAGGTACGTTGTTGAAATCGTTAGTTTTTTTTTTACCAATTTAAAAATTGTTGTGAATAAAAAAAATTAAGGCTTGACCTTTACACACCTTGTTAACTTAAACAGTAACAAATAAATTGCATAATTTGTTTTATAAATAGCTCATTTGCCCTGGGCTTTAAACTGTATATACTAAAAACAATAAAATATATGCATACAGTAGTATTCTCGTATTTTTCGAAAGGGAGGAGGGATATGAATATTTGACTATTCTCAGACCACTTAATATATTGGTAAATATACTTATCATATATTTTATATGACAAAAGTAATCCAAAGGGGGGGGGGGTCCCCTTCCCTCCTTGTGTACACACATATGCACTAAAAAGTAAAACATGTATTAAAGTATATGCCGTACAATATGCAATTATTATTTATTTTTTCTTAAAAATTGGTAAAGCGTTTAAATGGGAATAAACTACAAAAAAAGTATAATTATCTAAAAGTGGTAATGTAATATTTCTATATAAGTATTACAACTTTTGGATAATAAATTCCTACCCTCCTTATTATTATTAAAATTATTTTTTATTTTTCAACTAAACTTTAAATACTAATATTAAACATACCTTATCATAATAGGAAATAGTTAATTATTAGAAAATAATTAATAATAAACTAAATATATAGGTATCTATTATAATACCCTTATAATTATTATGAATTAATGATTCAAAATATAGATTACCGTAGGCCATGAGTGTGAAGGCTTTTTATTTTTTAAATTATTTCTTTTAAAATCAAATTGTTTTATTAATTTATTATCAAAATAATTGTTTGTATGACATACATTATCATACATTATCTCTGTTTGTCATTATTTATTTATTAAATATGCATAATCACCTAAATAAATTTGGAAATGCAACAATGAACACATTTTTGGATTTGAGTTGTATGTATTATGAAACAACACATTTGTGTAGTATCATATTTTGAATATATAGCTAAGCAGGTTCCTAATAAGATATATGCAAAAGCATGACATTTCGCATTGGTCATATGAATTAAAAAAAAAAAAAACATATACCTAATATTGAATAGAATAGATTTAAAATACTCCCTAGAGTTAATAGATTTTACTTTATTACTTATTAGAAAGTAAAGTAGCTTACACACATGTTTGCTATGTATTCAAAAATTACAATAGTTACCTATCTTAATAATAAATCTTTCTACCTGATGGCAAGCATTTTTAATACTCATATTTTTTTTGAATTTAATACTTATTACAATTTACAGGCTCTAAACAATGTCTCAATTCATGAAACATGTAATTAAATGCAACATTTCACAAGCATATCTTCAATATCTTCCATTAAAGGTAAATTAATACCAAAGCTTTAATCTTAAATATTTATAGTATATTTTTTTTTGTAGAACATTCAAGCTCGACATTTAAATTTATTAGAATGCCATAGCAAAGATTTATTGAATCAACATGGAGTTGCAGTTCAAAAATTTAAAATTGTGGAAAATGCAGATGAAACAAACAATATGCTTAAATCATTTGGTATGTATTTCAGGACAATATGTTTAAATATTATTATGAATTGATATTTAATTTATTGTATAAACAATGAATAAAAAATTTGTTTATTTTAAATTTTACTTTTATGCTTTGTACTTTAGATGTAGAAGAATATGTATTAAAAGCTCAAGTATTGGCCGGTGGACGAGGAAAAGGCCATTTTAATAATGGATTTAAAGGGGGCGTGCATGTCACAAAAGAGTAAGTAGTTAGTTAAATTGAAAAATCCATGCTTATGATTTCATAGTATTCAATATTTGGTTGATAAAAATATTTTTTTCTTAGGAGAACAAAGATTTATGATTTATTGAAGAACATGTTAGGTTATAAGTTAATCACTAAGCAAACTCCCAAAGATGGAATATTAGTTACCAAAGTTATGGTTGCTGAGTCTGTTGATATTAAAAGGGAAACATACTTCTGTATACTGATGGATAGGTAAGTTAAACATTTTAATTAAATCTAACTTGAATTATATGCTTTTTCTAAAATATTTATATAGTTATCTGAAAATGATAGTATGTATAATTTTGTGTGTTAATTTTTTATGCTTACAGAAGTCAAAATGGCCCAGTATTAATAGCTTCTCCAGCTGGAGGAATGGATATTGAAGATATTGCTGTTAATTCACCCGAATTAATAAAAAAAATTCCTATTGACATATTTGAAGGTATTTCTGATAAAGTAGCATTAGATGTAGCCAAATTTTTGAATTTCAATGAACCATTGGCATCTGTGGTGAGTATTATACCACTTATACATTCATACCAAATGTTACAATAAATTTACTTTTTTTTCACAGGCAGCTAATGAAATAAAAAGATTATGGGAATTCTTTTTGTCTGTCGATGCAGTTCAAATAGAAATTAATCCATTAGTTGAAACATTGGATAATAAAGTTGTATGTGTTGATGCTAAAATTCAATTTGATGATAATAGTCAGTTCAGACATAAAGAAATATTTGAGTTGGATGAAACAAGTGAATCAGATCCTCGTGAAGTAATGGCTAATAAACATAACTTAAGTTACATCGGTATGGATGGAAATATTGGATGTTTAGGTAGGGTATTTTAATTTATGCTCACTACACTATTATACATATAATTAAAAAAAATGTATTTATTTTATTGCTATAGTTAATGGAGCCGGTCTTGCGATGGCTACTATGGATATAATTAAATTGCGAGGTGGAGAACCGGCCAACTTTTTAGATGTTGGTGGAAATGTAAATGAAAATCAAGTATACGAAGCTTTCAAACTGCTAACATTAGGTAAATACTCTAAATAATTGATTTATTTTCAAAAATGTATTATACTAATTAAAATAATTCTTGCAGATTCGTCTGTTAAAGCAATTTTGGTTAATGTGTTTGGTGGAATTGTAAATTGTGCAACAATTGCAAAAGGCTTAATAAATGCTTCAAGAAAGTTGGACTTAAAAGTTCCATTAGTTGTAAGATTAGAAGGTAAGTTTTTAATTAAATGTTTTCTTTTTGAGTACAATATCTTCAGATAACTTGGTGGATTATTTGCTCAGTACCTAAGTAAATTATTGTTTTAAAAATAGTTAATTTGAACAGTACCTAAGTAATTGTTCTTTACTAAGTTACTCTGGTCAAATATCCTCTCGACTGTTTTAAAATAAATTGGCAATGAAGGATTGAAAGTATTTGTTACTTAAAAAAATATTGATGTTTACCTTATTCTTTATGTCGAAACAATGCATACAATTTTATTCTTTTAGTATTTTATTATATAGGTTTAGTAAATATTGTAAAATACTAAAATGTTGGTACTGCGAGTGGGTATCTTAGTTGCCTGATGACAACTGTACATTTCATGTAAATTTAATATACGCTAATTTTTAGAATTTCATATAAGTAAATGTATAGTGCAGATAAATGAGTATATAGTCTATACCAAATAAGAGCGCATCGGGCGGCGCACAAAAACCGGTCATATCACGCGCATGTCAGAGAGCGCTACCGTCGTGCGTTCCAGCGCCACCAGGGTCAACCGCTTATACAGAGTGTGTTATATTGTTACACCATTTTAACGGTCTTTAGCGGTAACACGTATTTTTGTTTTTTGTGCGCATTCGCTGTTTATTGAATTTTTTTAAAAAAAAAATTAATTAAAAAAAGGTCTATTATTTTACTATGTAATACGCGGTAGCACAATATAATACTCGGTAGCGCGTTGTTACTACAATTTCCTGTATGTACGGCGGCGTCGCCGATCATAGCCGACTACGGCGACCAATCACAGAGCTAATAGACCCGTCCAGGGGGGTCCGGACGTCGCTCCGCGATTCATTTGTATGCGCCAACACGGTGCGCTCTTATTTGGTACAGACTATAGTCATTGATTAATTGAATTATTTAATGAATGCATAATTAGCTTAAATAGAATTGTCAACTGATACATTAAGTGTTCTATATCCACAAACAATGTTCAATCTAATGGGGACGGAGTGGACGAGCGGACCAAGTGCCGCCATCTCCCACCCGGGCATGGCAGATACCTACGGATTCCCAATCAAAAATTCTGCCAAAACCCAACACACACGTGTTCCTCCCCTTACCGACATAAAAACTTACAAAACCATACAGCTAATGGCCATAGTCACCGGGCTCTAGATCAATTCTCTCTCTTATAGTTTATACCTATTTAGATTGTATTTTATTTTATTTGCAGGTACAAATGTTTCTGCTGGCAAGAAGCTTTTGGAAGAATCTGGATTACAAATTGAATTTGCTGCAGATCTCGATGAAGCAGCCAAAAAGGCTATTTCATCTCTAAAAAAATAAGATTTGAATTATTATTAGATTTTTTTTTTTTTTAAATATTTTGTATCAGGCTATATTTTTAACTTATATTGTTGGTTTAAAGAATTTTATTTTATACATGAATATTTTATAATATCAATAAATGATTTGTAAAACCAATTAAATTTTTTTTAAAAATTACTTAAAATGTAATGGAAAAAAAGTTATGTTGATTTTATAGATGTTTATTAATCAAAACGACAATAAATCTATTAAATCTAAATAATTAATGTTGAATTATATCAAAATTTGAAATATCCTATAAGAAAAAACAAATTGTTTTGATTATACACAAAAATATGTAAATTTATGTTAGTTAATAATGGGACTGCAGATTACTGACATTAGTTTTTGGGGCGTAGTATATAAACAATCTTTTAATAGTACTAAGTAATGAGGCATGTATGTAATAGAAAACTAAAAAGTAATTTAAAAAACATAAAAAAGTAAAGTGTGCAAGTTTTCCACAAAAGCTTCTTGGAAAAATAGTCTTTTTAATTTCAATTGCAATTATTTTAACAGTGGCTATTGGTTATATCTTTATTCTTTAGGCTATTTTATATGGTTGTAAATTTGTAATCACTGGTAACTCGTAAATCATACTTATGAAACTTGTGCGCTGCATTTCTCATTATTTTATTTAAATACATACTTATGTTTAAGTACTATAAATAAATGATTGACTAAAAGTATTATTATAACATTATAATAATATTTTTCGTGTTAATATAATATTATCATTACAAAATGCTATCAGGGATAGAATTTAGATCAGTGTAAAACGCTGTGTCATAATATTTTTGTCTTATGTTAAATATACAGTGCTGTTAAAATATACTTACTAACATTTTATATTAAAATTATATTATATTATTTTAAATAATTATATATTTAATTTTACCGCCCTTAAGCAACTCATACCTTGCTTATGCTCTAGCAACGACCCTATACATTAATGTTTTAAATAATGAAATATATTAGAAAGATACTAACATATTGAGAAATTGTTTAACATTCAAATTAAACAATAAATGTCTCTAATAAAAGAGCTAATACTGTGAGGTGTGATGTAATAATGATTATATAAATCTAGAATAATAGCAATATGTGGGCGGTTGAGATTTTATTTTGTCGACATTGACAAGATTAACAAAACCTAACTATTAACTAAACCATACATTACAATAGCAATATTTTATTCAAAAAATTTAGAAAATTTTAATTTTCAAAAGTATCCTTTCACATACAAATTTTGGTTATATTTAATTTTTAAATAATACCTATACAGTTCATGTTGCTCTCTTGTAACCTTTCGTTCAACATGATGCTTTTACTTTGGGGACCAACAACTTATCTTTGAGAAATTAAAAGCTACAATATTATCACAACTCATCAATCTTACTACCTACTAACTTTTCATCAAAAGCATTTATACAGAGTAATAATGTCCACAATGATATTTCCTAGTTCTTATTCCTCGGTTATTGGATGATTTGTAGTTCAAACCGTTTCATTAGCGTTTAGTAGCTTACCTTCTTACAATAATGTTAAGAGAACGTTAGATCCGAATGCGTTGTCTCCAATCGCCATCCTACAAAATTACGTAGGTAGGTATTCTGTATTCTGTATAATATACTATATTATACTGAATTTATCTAGGTGTAATAAAATTTAAAATTAAGAATAGGTAGGTATTATCTAGTGAATCTTGTAAGCTTTATTCTATATTTTAATTTTAAATGAAGTTATGAGTATTTACAGTGTTGGGTAAATTAATTTTAAAAAGTAGTGAAATTACGTTACTTACTATATTTTTATTTAAGTACCTAAAATTATTTTTACCATGTTACATTACTTTTTCATTAATAAAGTAGAGCGTTACAAATAACGTTACCTTTTTTTTATAATTTTTTTTTACACCATATTCAATTCATATGATTCAATTATTATGTATATATTTACAAACATAGACCTTGTGATAATAGACCTATTTTAGTATTATGTACAAATCATTTACAATCATTTCACCTATATGGCTGTATACTATATAGTCATGTCATAAAGCATAATTAATTTTTATTAAATTTTATTTTTAAACCGAACTCTTTTCTTTCTGCTGATAAAGTAACATTTATGTATAATAACATTTATTACTGGAATGTTTAGTAATATTGTTAACTATAATTATCGGAATCAAAAATAAATAGAATTGATTTTTAGTTTTTCTAGAATATCCTATCGGTTTGTTTTTGTAATACATTCAAAACTATTATTTTAATAAAGTGAAAAATAACGCGGTGTAGTGCTTTACTTCGTAGAATTTACTTTTCAAAAGTAATTTTGTTACAATTGCGTTACTTTAAGTAAAATGTAATGAAAATACGTTACTGAAAAAGTAATTGCGTTACAATAATTTGTAATTTGCGCATAGGTACGTTACTATCCATTATCCAACACTGAGTATTTATGATTCAATTTGCTATGCTATGAGTTTGTAAGACCGAAATATACTATAAAGTTTGAATTACTTATTTAAAGTATTTGGTAAGATGGAAACGACGTATATCTGCAAAAACCATGACAAAAATTCAATTAATAATCGGCAAATAGTAAAATAAAAAGTAAAAAGTAAAAACGGGGACTGATATCATATTTTGTCATTATCATCATCATACTGGCCATGGGCCATGGCCCTAAGTTTATAGGTCTATGGGCTGGTGGAACAACAACAAATATTAATTTATTTGTAGGACATAGCGACTATCAAGTAAATAATGCAGTACAGTGAACGTGTAGTAAGTATGATAACGTTATCACTTATCAGTGATTTTATGTTCAAAACATTTGAACTGTCTTACAAATTTCTACGTGTATTGAGACTACGAAGACTTTGGCATTGACGTTGATGTATTATGAAAAAAATGGCTTTAAGTTTCCCTTCTACTTGATTCTGTAACGACAAATTTATCGTTGTCAGCAGCCGTGTACATAGTACAATATGGCCAACAATCCACCGGAACTGGTAGCAATCAACGAAGAATTGGGCGACAATTTTGACGATCTAATAAATCGGTGCGAGGCATACAAACAAGTGCTCTTAAAAAGAAAACATGATATTGCTGAGAAGGTAAGCCGGACTCGGTTATTTACGTGACATTTGTTACAATTTAACTACATATAAATATTGTTTGTTTAGATCAACTCCCAGGTGGTTGGGCCAAACTCAAACATGGTCAAGACCTTAAGTAAAGTTCAAGAGGAGCGGCTGGCAATTGTTTCATTGAGAAAAGAAGTTGAACAGCTCAAGTCAAAGTATGCCGGATTCAAGAAGGAGACTGAGAGTATTAGGACCGTATTTCAGAAGTTGATTGAAGATTTAAAATACAAATGTAATCGGATGACGTACTTTAAGTGCCTTCAATGTATTACTTCCAGAAGGTATGCATTTATTTATTTGACTTGGTACACATTGTAAAGTAGATAATGTATAATGCTTTTAGTAATAAAATGAGAACCGATTTGATGAGTAAGCGCGAAACTGAAGCTGTTAAGTCATACACGATTTTGTGTGAACTTAGTCTTGCCATGAGTGGTGCTCCATCTAAGCATTTGGTTTCCTATATCACCAGAGTAATCAACTATTGGCATTCCATACTTGAAACATTTTATTCAGAGTAAGAATTATTTAGTTATAATAGGAAATAATTAAAAGTTTTCTATATAAACAATTTTTATGATTACTTTTGTTTTTGTTTTTTAGAGATTTTGAAATTACTTTAAAACAAATGAACTGGCCATTTACAATGAGCGAAATCACGGATAACGGAAAATTAAATAACTTTAAACAACAGTTTCAACGTTTAGCCAACATGTTGATAAAAGTTCAACTTCCGTATCCTTTTGTAGTTTTGTATAAACAACATAAATGTATATAAACAGTTGGTATAGTATTTGAATATCCTTAGCTCGAATTATTAGTAAAAACGATTATAGTGAATTCAACGAGCAATTACAGACGGCACAATTATTGGAACATTATTCCCATGTACCCTTACCAATCGTTATGTTATTAGTACCTTTTCGAAAAAGATTTTTTTACCATTTTACTGGCAAAAAGCAGACCAACAAACCTGATAAGCCTGAATGGTTTCTATCTAGAGTATTAAGCTGGATTAGAGATTATAGAACATTTGTTGTGGATTGGTTGGGTCCAGTCTATACAGAAAATGGAAAAAGCGCAGTTGATTCTCAAGTAAATAATATTAATAAGATTATTGCAGCAATAGAAAAATAATCATAGATCATTTTGAATTTGATCATTCCTTTATAAGTCATAATTTTTATATTTGTTTTTACAGCACGACTTTATTATAGGGCTATTGCAGTTTGTTGTAATTAAACTTGATTCAGATTTGTCACATTTTCAACTGGAAGATGTAGTATTTTCACATATTGTGGATGAAACATTAGCATTTGAACATGAACTAAGAAAAGTATATAGTTATCCACATGATTATCCAAGTGTTACAGAAGTCTTAACTCAAGCACAAATATTTTTCAAATGGATTAATATGGAACGAAAATGTAAGAAATATATATTAAGTATTAATTATAAAATATATACCTATAATTTATTTTTTTATTTTTTAAGATGCTCATATCAAAATGGATGAAATTATACAGAACAAAGAACAATGGAAGATCTTAGTTTATGATAGTCAATATTGTATGACAGTGTGTGCAGATAGTTTTCTAACTTTGTTAAACACCATGAGTGATCGATATAGTATACTTCGTCAACCAAGACATAAGTAAGAATGTTTATAATTTTGGGTTGGTCACAAATAAACAACATTTTAAATTCCAATTCAAAACTACATATTAAAATATGTTATATATGGCCTACACCCTATAGCAAGGGTCTCCAAACTTTTTCATTTGAGAGTCATAAAAAATTAAAAGCTCTTATGCCGGGTTGCACA